AAAGGGAATGGATCAATGGTCAGATGAGATATATGGATTTGAGGTCTTGAGCAAAGGGGCTCTGATCCTTGTGGCAGTTGGGGTCCAGCATGGTGGCACCTAGGAGCATTCTGGTTCCCCAGCCAGAAGCTCTCCGAACCCTCTCTTTTTGTTTTTTTTTTTTTTATGGAGCCTTCATTGCATAGGTGTGATTGGTAAAACTATAGGCCATTGGAGACTGATTTACCTCCATCTCCTCTTCTCCCTTGAAATCAGGAGCTAGGACTGCAAATTTCAGTACTGGAAAGAACAAACTGGAGCAACCAACTCTATTCCTGGTTGGTTCCCCTGGCAACCATCCTGCATCCTTAGATGCTCCTCAAAAGTCACCTCACTAACATATTCTCCAGTGTGGTGGAGAGAGGCTTGTTATTTCTACCAAGTCACCCATTTCACCTTAGTGACTCTGAAGTGATTTCAGGAACAGAGGACAAGACACCCAGTATTGTAACAAAAGACCCACTGCTCTTACTGTTCAGGAAATTCCAAGAGTTTGAGGAGCTTGGAACCAAATATATGTGAGACCAAATATATATGACCAAAGACAAAATATATATGAGAAAAATATTTTGACCATCTGAATAACCAGATACACATTTCTCATAAATCACAATATGGCAGTAACTGTCTCACAGTCACTGACATGCCCAGAGCAGGCATTAAGGTGACGAAATCTGGGGCCAGCGTGATGAGTATGAGAGGTCCACACCTCCTTCCCCTTTTCTATAGATAGATGACCTCAAGAGGATAAAGGTTTTAGCCCCCTTTTTGCTACATGCCAGATCAACAAGTCCTTCCCAACAAAAGGTTAGGAAGTATAGGCTATTCAGGTACTGAGTAGATCTGCTTCTTAGGACCCCAAGAGACCAGGGAATTGGGGATGGAAAAGGACCGAGGGATCCTGGCTTACTGATTGGGATTGAGAAAGCCAAGGACTCACAGGATTAGGGCTCGGGACTTCCCTGCAGGCCTTGGCCATGGTCTAGCCAGTTCTCCTGGAATCTGCTGTGACAGAATGACCTGGTAGACCTAGGCATGGAATCACTGTTTGCAATGGCCTCAAAATAAGGTAATAGGTATGAAGTTTCTCCCCAGCTGGGGCTCCCTCAGTCCTTGCTTGGGGAAGGGGATGTATGAGGACAGGTGGGCCCAGCAGACCCAGAGGCAGGTCCATGTGGATGCCCTGCCTCTACGTGCACCCACCTGAGATCTCAGCAAGAGAACCTGAACTGGGAGGACACGTGTGCACCACATGGGATGAACCTGGACCACACGTAGTCATTGGGATGCTCCCTGAATTCAGTGTAGCTGTGGATGCACATGCAGAATATGCCAGACCCCGGATGGGACAAAGAGAGAAACCGCCAGCAAACCCAGGAGGCAGGGATCAAAAGCCTGAGAGAATTCCTCAGAAAGTTAAACATAGAGTTACCATATGGCCCAGCACCTCCATTGCTGGGTATGGACCTCAAAGAATGGAAAACAGTAACTCAAGATGCCTGTACACTAATGTTCATAGCAGCATCCTCCATGATAACTGGGAGGTGCAAACAACCCAAGTATATATCAGTGGATGAAAGGATGAAGAAAAAGGCAGCTTGCCCACAGGATAGGATAATATTTGGCTGCAAAAAGAAATGATCCACGCAGCTGGCACATGGAAGAACCTCGAAAGCATTATGGTCAAGGACAGAAAAGACCACATACTGTATAATTCCATTTATATAAATCATCCAGAACAGGTAAACTCTAGAGACAGAGAGTGGATTGGTGGTGACCAGGGGCTGGGGGACGAAGGGATGGGGAGTGACCACTTAATGAGTGTTTTCTTTCGGGATAAGGCAAGATCTCAGCGTGAGATAAAGATGATGGCTGCACTGTACTGGGAATGTACTAAACACCACTGAATTGAACCTTTCAAAGAGATTCACTGTTAATTTTATGTTATGTGAACTGTGTGTGTGTGTGTGTGTGTGTGTGTGTGTGTGTGTGCGTGCGTGCTCAGTTGTGTTTGACTCTTTGCGACCACATGGACTATAACCTGCCAGGCTCCTCTTGTCCATGGGATTTTCCAGGCAAGAATACTGGAGAGGGTTGCCACTCTGTTTAAAAAGTAAATGAGCACTTAGGGTTCAGGGAGAAAAGTGCGTCTCTTCTGAGTTGGGCCAGTTCTGTGATTGGCTCACAGGCAAAACCCCTCCACCAGGGATGCAGATACAGATGCTGCCCAAACTGATTCTGGAGGCTCAGCTGCAAAGGGTGAGGTCGTGTTGCACTCTTGGTGGATAGAGGAAGGAGCTGTCTGGGAGGAGTGGATGGCATACTGGGGGAGGTGGGTGCAGCTCTTATGCCAGTAAGAGGCTGTCTAGGCAGACCATGGTTTAGTCCTAAAATATAAAATCAGATTTTTAACCCCATGGCTTTGTATGTGGCAGTACAGAGCAGCCACCTTCATTCAAAGTGCAGGACCCTGCTCATTTCACAAAACAGAAGCCTGTTTTGGTCCAGAAGCCAAGGATCCAACCCTGAGCAGCACCTGGGGTTCTCTGAGGGTCTCGGCATCCAGCTTTGTCCTCCGGAACCTAAAGTTTCCAGGAGTACAGATTTGAACTCAGCTTGTTTCATGTGCTAAATTCTGAAACAGGGAAGTTCTCCCTTTGGTGAAAGCCATTATATCTGTCAATGCCTTGATGTTTTTGAATCCTTTGTGGCCCCAAATCAAATAGAAGTTTTTTCCATCCACACCTGAAACATCCTAGTTCCTGTCTCCTTTCACCGAAAGGATTTATCCCTGTGTGATTATCACAAATCACCTCTGAATGATGCTTTTACCATTCAGCTCTTAGGGCTTGGGCATTCATTAGAAAGGCAGACACATGCCTACCCATTTGCACGCGGCCGTTTTTAAACACAAGGCATTGTCCGTGGATATTTATATATACGTATACAGTATTCACTGGCACAGATGCTGTCTCCCACTTCCATTAATGAAATTATCCTTACAGAATTATCGTCACTAAGCAGTTGCCTTTCCACCACCCTATGACTCATTGTGATTTCTGCCATTTTCCATCACAATGACTACGGGCAATTACTCAGGCTTTGTAATTCAACGCCCGGCTTCCTGCCTATGGAGAGTGTTCGAATAAGATGCAGTTTTTTTTATAGCTGGAAGAATGTTAATGGATGTCAATAGGTTGAGCACAAGAGAGCCAGTGCCTTGGAGAAGCAGCCATGTGGATCGCTATCTGTCCCTGGTGCGTTTGCAATAAAAGCTTTCTCAACTTTTCTGTTGCTTGAACAGCAATTACTAAAACATTCTACTTGGGAAAATGCATTAATTAGATGCTTTCTAGAGATTTTTCAGGTTTATCAACCCAAATGCCTGTATACACTCCTCAGAAACGTGCAAATGTTAATGGAGCATGAACCTATGGTTCTGCAGCCTGGCCTCAACATTCCTCCTGCTCCTGGGCTGCTGGGGGTCTTATCTGGGAGGGGCTGTGCCAGCCTTGGGCACAGACACCAGTCACAGCAGGGATGAGGACTTCTGCTTACTCCATAAAATGCCTAAAGGACCTCTCTGTGACCAGTGAGGCCACCAGGAGAAGGACATGTGATCTCTGCTCTAAACAATTCTTAGTTGGTGGCAATTGGTCCCAGCCTTTCTTGTCCTCCCAGTTGTCCCCAGTGTGTGGCTATGGCAAATGTCTTAAACTTTACGGGTATCAACTCCCTCATTTGTAGAATGAGAGTGATAATAGCACCTCTGATCACCATAGGGTGATTTTGAAAATTCACTGAGACAATACATAAAACTTAGTTATAAATACAACACCTATTACACAATAAGGACTCTGTGAATGTCAGCTACCATTATCATTATATAAACCAGTCAATCCTGAAGGAAATCAACTCTGAATATTCATTGGAAGGACTGATGCTGAAGATGAAGCTCCAATACTTTGGCCACCTGTTGCAAACAGTCAACTCATTGGAAAAGACCCTGATGCTGGGAAAGACTGAAGGCAAGAGGAGAAGGGGATGGCAGAGGGTGAGATGGTTGGATGGTATCACCGACTCAATGGACATGAGTTTGGGCTAATTCTGGGAGATAGTGAAGGACAGGGAAAGCCCGGTGTGCTGTAGTCCAGTGGTCAAAGAGAGTCAGGCACGACCGAGTGCCTGAATGACAATAACCATTGTTATTACTTCTGTTACTGGAATGTCAGCTATGGGAGAGAAGGAAGCAGGCTGTTCTATCCACTGTCACACCCTGGGGCTTAGAATGAAGCCTTGTGCTACTCAAGCCCTCAGCTTCTATTTCTTGAAGAACAGACTATCATTATTATTACCCTTGTTATTGTCATCATCCTGTTAGAGGAGGGGCAATTGTAGGACAAGCAAAGGTGGGGGTAAGGGGTGCAGGGGAAGTGAGGATAACCCAGGCAGGCGTCCAGGAAGGTTTGCAAGGTGTGGGGCTCAAGCTGGCCTTTCAGGGTGAGGAGGGTGTTGGTGTTGTAATAAGTTGATGTTAGGAGCACTCATTACATGCTTGCATGCTTTTAGTGCTTCTCCTATTTAAACTTATTCATGTCTCCTGATCTCCCTGCTCCACCCATGTAGAAAGCTAGTTTCACATTAAATTGGATGGAATAACAGCCAGGGGGTGGGGACATCCTGGTTATATTTGGCCCTCCTGATCAGGACTTTTTACAACCATCTTGGAGAGGAGATTCACAGACTCTGACCATGGCCACCCCAGCCCATCCCTCTGGCTGGGATAAGCACCTCCCCCCACACAGCCCCTGTGCTTCATGTTGTGTTCAAGCCTCATGGTACTCAGGGCCCCTGCTTCTTCTCATTCCACTCTTTGAGTTGCCCCATCCCTTGTTTAGAGATGTGACCTCCATGTTTTTGGAATACAGTTCTGGACTGAAGAGAAGCCCCACTCCAGCCAGATGCTCATGTCCAGCAAAGATGAAGGCCTCTGTGAACCCATCAGGAATGAGTGCAGTAAGTTGCTGCCTCAGCAGTTTGTGTAGGAATGGACTGAGGTTCCAGGAGTCAGCAGCTGTTGTCCGAGGCCCCAGAGGCAGCCTGATCTGTCTATGCCAGAGACCATGTAGATTGATGAAATAGCTAAGGACCTGGCATAAATTCCAAGCAGGCCCGCCCCCTCTCTCCCAACCCTGTGGCTGGAATCACTTTGGGGCCATCAGTCCCATTCACTGCTTACTTTACGGGACTTTCCTGGTGGCACTAGTGATAAAGAACCTGCCTGCCATGGCAGGAGACTTAAGAAATATGGGTTCAATCCCTGGGTGAGGTAGGTCCTCTGGAGAAGAGCAAGGTAACCCACTCTAGTATTCTTGCCTGGAGAATCCCACGGACAGAGGAACCTGGCGGGTTACAGTCCATGGAGTTGTACAGAATCGGACACGACTGAAGCGATTTAGCACGCACACATACATGTTCACTGTACAGACCACCTCGCTGGAGTGGCAGGTGATAAGCAACCTTGCGGGGACCAGCTGTGGATACAGGTTCTGGAGGGGGTGGAAGGTGATGAAGAGACCGTGACCCCTCTCCAGGCTATAGTGGGAAGTATGGGCCAGCGCTGCCTGTGGACCTAGAGCAGAGATGCCCCTGGGCTGACTGATGAAGCAGCAGCTTTGGATTGTAGAAACCCCTCAAAGGCAGGACAAAGAAAGTTTTGCGTGAACCCAACCTCTGTGTTTTCATGTAGAGTCATAGCACCTCTTCACCAGCCTGGGAAACTTCTCCAGTCCACTCCTGCTTTCTGGACAAAACTGATAAGACTTCCGGGGACTGGGTACCCAAGAGCATTTGTCACTTCATAGCTGGCTTTTGTTTTTTAAAGAACATGACAAAGAGTGGGCTTATGTCAAACTGTCCTCTATAACTAATCTCTGAAGATGCAGCCACTTCAGAGGCAGAAGCTGACTTTGGAGAGTTCGATGTGTGGGCAGATGTGACAGACATCCATCTGACTACACGCCATCTTTGGGGCACATGCGCTTCCTTGAGAGAGATGCACACGCAACATACATGTGGGTGATGTGCCGAGTGGTGGAAAGTTCTAAAGAGGCTGAAGTGCCAAAATGGGGGCCTTTCCTTGCTGAGGAGAGGGTCACGGTGCTGGTGTAAATAGTAAAAAAGTTGAATAAAAGGGAGCCTGTTGCCTGGGGAGCTGGTCACCGTGGAGGCAGGGGTTGACAATGGAAGTCAGGTCAGCAGAATGCTGAAGGCTTACTCATAGTGCTGACCTGGGCTGATGACACGGGCTCCACAATTCAGTGAGCTGGCCATGACCTACACAGATGGGGTGCAGCAGCTGAGGGCCCTCTTAGCCCTCCTGGGCCTGGCTTTCAGGAGGAGGTGGAGCAGCAGAAACTTGGTTGGCAGGGATGGGGGGTAGTTTCCTGGCAGGCAGCTCACTTGTGGTGACTCTAGGGAGGAAAGATTGCTTCTCACCAGGCAGCCCATGAAATATTACATCTGGAATCTTAGCTGCGTGTCCTTGCATTCCTTCAAGCTCTGCCCTCTCTCCACTGCTGGCCTGAGGCCCATTTCTCCCTCCTCCCTTCCTAGCCAATCCTGTTCACTTCTCCTGGGAAACCCCGCCATTCCAGGACTCACATCCCTGGAGACGGGGGTGATGTGTGGTGACAAGGAGGGGACCACACAGTCGGAGGAGCAGCTGTCCTCACACCAGGGCCTCTAAGGGACCCTGTGGAGGTTTTCTGGGTTCCCTGAGGTTGTGGAGATGGTGGCCATGGCAGAGCAGGAAAGGGCAGTAGGGTAAAATACCCCCAAAGGGAAGGACACCAGGCCAGAAGGTGCCCTTTCACACCCAGGTTTAGTCACAAACATTCTGTGCATCAGGTCATCAGGTCTGGGCCCCGGTCCCCTCTGGAAAGAAAGACTCCTTCATCTCTGGGGAGTAGGATGGGGCAGCAGGTGGAGGGGGGAAAGTAGGGACTGTAGGTTCATAGTCCGAGTCCCTGCTCTGCCCCACTCTTGTCATAGCAACTTGACAGAGGCTGGGCTGACCAAGCCAAGAATCATGAGCTTATAAATGACAGCTATTCTAAACCTCTACATCTTGGGGTGGTTTGATTTGAATTGAATAATTTGGCCACTCTGAGCCTCAGTTTCCTCTCTGATAAGATGGAGAATAGACAGACACAGTAGCTGCCTGTAAAGAGCATCGTGGGGATGAAGCAACACGGAAGTGATGAGTGCTTACCTAGTTCCCAGAGAGCACAAGCCGTTCACCCTGGAGGCTGCTCTTTGTGAAAGCAGAGCAGAGACATGGTCGTCCATTCCAAAGTGCTCATCTTTGTTTTTGAGTGAATTTGAAGAATGTTCTATCCCTCGCCCCTCCATCTTGTTGACACAGAAAGGGATGGACTAGTGAGCTGGGATGTCATAGCAACGTGGGTCCGACCTTAGGATGAGAGAGCCCATCAGGGAATCAGTTCTTACTGAAACTATATGATGAAAGAGTGACCATCCTCCCCGACACCAGCCATCAGAGGTAAGGATGCTCCCCACACCTCCCAGCCCATCTTTGTAACCTGCTGGCTTCCTGCCACTTGTGACACATCCACACCTGAATTCTCCTGGAAGGTGCAAAGGCCAGGAGGGTGTGAGAGGCAGACGCTGCCTGCTCTGCACCTGCAGCAGATACCCAAGTGTTGGAAACACATTTTCCTGAGCTCATGTCAAGCCTTAGCATCTGGAACCTTCAGCATCCAGAATCCAGGGCATCTCTGTTCTAGGTCCACAGGCAGGGCTGGCCCATACTTCCCACTATAGCCTGGAGAGAGATCAGGGTCATGGGAGGTAGCAGATAGAGGCAGCCTCTTCATCACCATCCTTCCTCTCCACATCTCTCCTACGTAACTCTGCTAGACCTTCCTCAAAGCCTGGATCACCTGCAGAGTGCCCGGGCACTCAGCTTTGGGGGAAGATGGGGTGTTGGGGGGAGGGTGTTTGAAGCCAGGCTGGGCTCCAGGGACAGATTTGTTGGGGCAGCTTGGTGGTACCCCCTTGGTGCTGAAGAGAAGTTCACCGTGTAAGCCAGAAATACAGGAGGGAGAGGACAAAAATGGGGCCTGCGCTGTCCCGAGAGAGGCCAGGGAGCCCGAGCTGGCACTGGGTCCGGAGAGTGTCTGGCTTTCCTCAAGTAATGTGGGTCGTGTGTCTGAGCTGTTGTCATCTACTTCCTCCTGTGGGTAGTTTTGCCTCTGGCTTTGAGGCCAGACTCAAAGTCTGAGCCTCTGATCATGGGCTGGGCTGCAGCTGCGAAGCACATCCTCATGTGGTCACACACACGCACACACACACTCCTTGGTTTGCGCACAGAGATGCCCCTACAAATGTCTCATGAGAACATCATTTCCTTTTAAATCAATTGAATGCAGAATCTTGGAGAGGTATCTGCTCTGCTGTGTTCATTGCAGCATTGTTTACAATAGCTGAAGGATGGAAACAACCTGTGTCCATCAGTGGGTAAACAGGTGAGGATGTGATATACACATGCAACAGGATATTATTTAGCCTTAAAAGGGGAAGGGGATCTTGCCATTGGCAGCAACACAGATGAACCGGGAGGACTTTGTGCTGAGTGAAGTCAGTCGGTCACCGAAGGACACATACTGCAGGATCCCTCTTACATGTGGCGCCTAAAGTAGAGTCACAGCAGTGGAAGGGAGAATGGTGGTTGCCTGGGGCTGTGGGAGGGGGAGATGGGGAGTTGATTTTCAAAGAGGAATGGATGAAGAACGTGTGGTGCATATATACAATGGAATATTACTCAGCCATATAGAGGAGCAATACTGGGTCATTTGTAGAGACATGAATGGACTTAGAGACTGTCATATAGAGTGAAGTAAGTCAGAAAGAGAAAAATATGGTATACTACCACATAAAAGTGGAATCTAGAAAAATGGTATAGATGATCTTATTGCAAAACTGAAATAGAGACACGGACATAGAGAACAAAGGTATGGACACCAAGAGAGGATAGGGGGTGGTGGTGGGATGAACCGGGAGATTGAGAGGATGTATATACACTATTGATATTATGTATAAAACACATAGCTACTGAGAACCTACTATGTAGCACAGGGAACTTTACTAAGTGCTCTATGGTGACTTAAGTGGGAAGCAAATCCAAAAATGAAGCGATATATGCATGCGTATAGCTGATTCACTTTGCTGCACTGTAAGCCTGGCATGCTGCAGCATGGAGTCTCAAAGAGTCGGACACAAATTGGTGACTGGACAATCACAAGAAACTAAAGAACGTGGCAACCCACTCCAGTATCCTTGCCTGGAGAATTACATGGATGGAGGAGCCTGGCGGGCTACAGTCCATGGGGTCTCAAAGAGTCGGACACGACTGAAGTGACTAACATAATATAACATTGCAAAGCAACTATACTCCAATAAGAATTAATTTAAAAAGAGAAAAACCAAACCGAAGGGTATAAAGTTTCAGTTATACAAGATGAATAGGTTTTGGAGACCTGATGTATGACTCATGCCTACAGTTAGCAACACTGTGAGTGTGTGCTGGATCGCTTCAGTCGTGTCCGACTCTTTGTGACCCCGTGGACTGTGGCCCACCAGGCTCCTCTGTCCAGGCAAGAATTCTGGAGTGGGTTGCCATGCCCTCCTCCAGGGGATCTTCCTGACACAGGGATCTATCAAACCCACGTCTCTTATGTCTCCTGCTTTGGCAGGTGGGGTCTTTGCCATTAGTGTCACCTGGGAAGCCCACTGTACTATGCTCTTAAATTTTTTTGAGACAGTAGATCTCATGTTGTGTTCTTAGCATGGTTTAAAAAATGGTTTAATCATTAAGTTGATTTTTAAAAAGTTATCCCTACAATGCCATCAGGGAAGTATTTAAAAGTTTTAAAACTTTTTAATTAGTTGTGATTTTTATCCTTCTACATCAGTAACCATTTTTGTGCACACAC